ATGTTTTTCATTCATGTGTGTGTGTGTGTGTGCGTGTGTGTGTGCGCACACGCTTGCCCGTGTATGTGTGTGCACGCGCACATGCTTGCCCATGAGTGCTTATGTGGAAGCCAGAGGTCAATGTCATCTTTCTCTTTCACTCGATTCCATATTCCCTTGAGATAGGCTCCCTCACTGAACCTGGAGTTAGTGGATCTGGGCTGGCAGCCAGCAGTGTCCAGAGATCTTTTTGTTTTGTTGTTGTCAGCCCTCTTTACCCTTAATGCTGTAGTTACAGATGTGCACTGATCTCATAGTTTTACATGGGTGTTGTGTTTCTGAACTCAGGCCCTCATGCTTTCTCAGCCAGCCCTTTAACCACTGAGCCTTCTCCCCAGCCCTGACACTGTGTTCTCATGTGGCTACATTTTCTCTTGCCTCTCTTCTTCCCACATAACCCTCATGTCTTCCCTTTTGTGGGACATTGATCTCTTTCATATTAATGTCTTTGTTTGATAATTAAGTAATTCTCAATGCTATGCTCTTATTTAAATGTAAGACTTGGAGACCATGGTCTTTATTACAGGAGAATCTGCTAGGTCATGCTCCCAGTATCGGTAATTTTGGGTCTTTTTGTTAGGCCAATCTGAGTATCAAGAGAACAAGTATCCAAGTCCACAGAGACGGTGTGCATCTGGCTCCCAGTTTGAGAGAAGTCATACGCGAGGAGAAAAGTCTTTTCAAAGCTTGCAGACTGTAATATCCAGTTTTAATATGGTGTCCCTTCTCTGCATTAATCCTGGTGTTCTCCAGCCCAGATCTCCTTCCAAACATGCTGATCCTGGTGAGAGTAGCAGAGACTCTGGGAGTTTGTCTCTTGCTGAGACTTTCACCAAGTCTTTCTGTTTTTAGTCCCAGATTCGTCCCCATTCCACAGGAAGCTGGTGTTGCTAGCTCCAAAGTGTCTTGAGGGTCTGGATGGAAATAGCTTTGCTTCTTGGCATTCCTCATGGCTTGCTTGGGATGACTCTCTTCACATCGGATGGTTCAACCATCTGCTTCACAGCTTCCAGAATGCACTGCTATTTTTTTCTCTTCTCTTTGCGACTTAAACTGCTTTGAATTTCTTTTCAGTGATTTTACTGGGACATTGGGATGAAGTATGTATTGCAAATCTCTTGTCTTTAAAAGGCTATGTTCTTTTGATAACCCTTAGTGATTCTGATAAGATTATGATAGATAGACATATTTGAAGATTGAGAAGGTGGGGGTATTGGAGAATCAGGAACTGGAAAGACGGTTCAGTGACTAAGAATACTTGCTCTTAAAATAAGAGTTCCCTGAGTTCAAATCCCCAGGACTGATGTTTTAATAAAATTTAAAAACCGGGCATGGGTTGTATGCCTGTAACTTTGATGTTAGGCAGCAGAAACAGGTGGATCCTGGGAGCTCGCTGGTCAGCCTGCCTAGCTGAAATGTCAAGCTTCAGGTGTGCGAGAGACCCTGTTTCAAATAAGGTTGAGGGCCATAGCGCAAGACACCATTGTCCTCCACATTCTCTCTCTCTCTCTCTCTCTCTCTCTCTCTCTCTCTCTCTCTCTCTCTCTCCCACACACACACACACACACACACACTTTTTTTCACACACACACACACACACACATACACACACACACACACACACAGAGTATACTTGAGATACAAACTCTAGTAGGCTTTCTCAAGTTTTGAATGACATATCTTTCTTACATTTTATTTTATTTTTTTCTTTTATGTGTATGAGTGTTTTGCTTGCATGTATGTAAGTGCATCCATGTCAAGCAAAGCCTGTGGAGGTCAGAAGAGGGCATTGGATTCCTTGGAATTGGAGTTATGGACGATTGTTAGTTACTAAGTGGGTGCTGAGAATCGAACTCTTGTAAGAACAGCCAGTGCTCTTTACTGCTGAACCATGTCTCCAGCCCCAAGTTTTTAATGACATGGCTTATACAACAAAGCTATGTCACTGTTGATGGTTCCAGATAAAATCATGTGATTAAGAAAGCCAAAAGAGGTGTGTGTATGTGTGATATTTGTATGCACATGTCTGGGGAGGTTTGGACATGTGTGTGGAAACCAGAGGTTAAGTCAGGTATCTTTACTTTCCACCTTATTTTTTGAGATAGGGTTTCTCACTAAACTTGAACCTTACAAATTCAGCAAGATTAGCTAGCCAGCAAGCTCCAGGAATCTTCCTGTCTCTACCTCCCTAATTCATGGGTGCATACTACCTGCACCTGGCTTTCTAACATGAATGCTGGGGATCCAAATTCAAGTGAATATGCTTCTGCAGCAAGCACTTACCAGCACAACTATCTCCCTAGCCTTTCCTTTTCTTTAATTTTATTTTCTTAAAATAAGGTCTTATTGGGGACTGGAGAGATGGCTCAGTGGTTAAGAGTATGCTCTTCCAGAGGACCTACGTCCAGTTCCCAGCAACTGCCTGTAACTCCACCTCATAGGGGATCCGACATCTCTAGCTTCTGCAGGCACTTGCACTCACATGCACTGAAACATACATATACAAATAATTAGACATAAATCTTTAAAAAATTTAAAAAACAAAGGTAATGTCTTATGTGTTCCAGTCTACCCTTGAACTCTGAAATCTTTCTACCTCAGCCCTCCAAATGCTGGGATTAAAGGCATATGTCACCATACCAAAATAATTGGCTTCATTTTTATTTGGTTTTTCTGTCATTTTTTCTAGGTTCAGAAGTGAGACCTTTCACTAAATGAGAAATTTTGTGATACTTATGGCCAACATAACTTCATTTTCTCCCTATTTATGGGTCTGAGAGTATATTGACCAGGTAGTAAGAGGTCCCAGAGTATACTTATTTCTTCAGCTTTTTTTAAACTAATGTCTTTTACTTAGTATTGGTTTGTTTTTTGTTTTTGTTTTGAGACAGAGTCTCACTGTGTATCCCTGGATGGCTTGGAACTCACTATGTAGACCAGGCTGGCCTGGAACTCACAGAGATCCACCTGCTTCTGCCTCTAAAATGCTCGGATTAAAGGTATACACCACTTAGATGTTTTTATTGTTGTTAATTCATTTCCCCCACTTCTGCGAAAATTAGTAGTCTTCTTTTAGATTGTCCTAATAATAGTTTTCAGGGACAGGCAGTGTTTCTTTTTATCAAAATATTCTAAATGATCAAAGCTGTTTTACTTGGGCTGTCAAGATGCCTCAGCATGTAAAGCACCTGCTGTGACTTGAGTTCAATCCTTGGAACCTACATGGTGGTGGAGAGAAGCAACTACCACAAATTGTCCTCTGACCTCCATACTTGTGCCGTGACACATGTGTGACACATAAACACACTCATGTATACATACTAACTAAATAAATAAACTTTTTAAAATGTTTTGCTAAAGTTGAGTAATCTAAATTGTATCTATTTCTATCCATAGACATTCCTGAATATGTTTGTTGATAGTAATCAGGATGCTCGAAGAAGATCTGTAAATGAGGATGATAATCCTCCTTCTCCTATAGGAGGTGATATGATGGACTCTTTAATATCACAGCTCCAGCCACCACCTCAGCAACAGGTAATATCTCACTGAAATTCCAGTGTCATCTGTGGAACTCCACAGGGTGTATGGGCTCCAGGGTTTCTTTGTTGAAAGATAAGTGGTCTTTGGCAGACCTAAGCAGCCCAGGAGATCCTTAGAAAGAAATAGTGACAGAGACAATGAGATCCCTGGTGATAGGAAGTAAATAGTATCGGAAAAGGCCTGAACCTTAGATGCTCAGATTGCATGTGTACTTAAATCAACGTGACTCCAAAGATATAAATACCACCTTCAGGATGTGAGATCTTCGGTAGAGTATCCTCACCATGTCTTGAAAGACAGCTGCCAGTCAAATCAAGCACAGAGAGCTAAATGTCCACTGCTGTTCACCGGGGACTCCTGCAGAAAAGCAGGGTATAGCATCAATGGATCTTCCTCAGATAGCATGGCTAAACTGTGCAAGTCCATGTTCAAAGCTTTCAGGTATGACATGACACATCTCCCACGCGTGGGAGTTGAGCAAGCCCTCAGCCAGTCTGTTCGCTCACCTTGACTCTCTTCAAATAGAGGCTGGCCACTGATCTTTCACCCCTCAACCAGTCCCTGTGGTTCCCTGTCCTGGAAAAAAGACTCAGTATGTCAGGGCACAGGAGTGCCTTTTGGCTGGAGCCTTTAGCGGCTCCGTTTTTAGTTGCATGTGAACACATAAGCTGTTGGTAGAGTTCTGAAGCACACCCCTTAGAGCTGCTTTATAAAGTACCTCAGGGATTCTCTGAATCATTCTCGAAATAGCATTGCTTGGAACCAGCATTGTACATTAAATGCCCTCAGCTTGTAATGTCTAGCTTCTAGTCTGGTTGCTTGGTAAGTGTAACTTTTTAGTACTCATGTCTCTTTTAGAGTACTAGACTCCTACCAGAAAGAGGGTTTGTATATTATTCTTAGTAGCTATTTAGGTTTTTCTTTATATGTTTCCCTTTTTGACCTTCATGAAGATGCATGACCCAGTAAAACCCTGTATGAATGCCTTTCTATAGCCAAGGAGTGGGTTCTTGGGACAGATACTGATTCAGATAAAATGCTAATGCTAACTAACTCTGAGGATGCAGGTATCCACTGGAGAGAACCACCTTACCCAGCACATGCCAGAGGAGACTTTTTCCTTTCTCTCTCTCTTTTTTTAAAGTTGTGGAGGCCACTTTGTTATACCATGCATTGTTCCTGTGTATACATACCCACGCACCCCCCCCACACACACACATGCTGGGGCATGTGGCAAATGTGTGGATGTTGGAGTACAACGTACTACAACTTGTCAGGTCTCTCCTTCCACCATGTGGGTCCCAGGAATTGAAGTCAGGTTATCAGGCTTCCTGGAAAGTGCCTATACCCACCAAGCCCTTAGACTGAGCTATCTCACCAACCCCCAAGTCAGAGTTCTTATAACCAGCCCTGATCATAAAAATATGGAGTAGTCTATGAATTTGCATGTCCTCTCTGTGCACAGGCCATGTTAATCTTCTCTATAATGCTCCAATTTTAGTATATTGTAAAATTCCTTCCTTATATTGTTACTAGCACTTGTAAGCACATGAGAAATCTTTTAGAAGGCTATTCATCTGCTATGGCTAAATGACTGGTTTATTTGAGGCTCTAGCATATTCTTGAAAAATACCAGTTTTTCTTTTATTTTATTCTTTGTTTACCAGATATCTGTTTTATGATTTTGTTTGTAAGCTTATTAATATTTTTGATAAGACAGTTGTGAGGAATAAAGTATTCATACAGAGTTTCATATATATCTTATTTGATGTCAGCAGATAGCTTTTATTTAAAAAATGCAATTTTGGAAACAGGTGCACAAGAAAGTTAGAAAATATAGAAGTTTAAGAATACCATAGTTGGAGCTGGAGAGATGGCTCAGCGGTTAAGAGCACTGACTGCTCTTGCAGAGGACCTGAGTTTGATTCCCAGTACCCACATGGCAGCTAACAACTGTCCTGTCCGTAACTCCAGTTCCAGGGGATCCAGTGCTCTCTTCTGACCTCCGTGGGCATTGCACGACACGTGTGCACCTACTACCATGCAAGCAGTACACTCACACACATAAAATAAAAATAATAAATAAAATATTAAAAAGGATACCATAATTTTAATTCAAGATGTCATTACTTTATACTTAAAAAAATAGATTCTACATTACTGGATAAAATGATGCCAGCAAATATACCTAATGAAAAATAAACAAATAAAAATATTAGTAAGAAGGCCTGTGAGATAATGGTTCAATGTGTGCTGATGACCTGAGTTTGATCTCTGGTACAGAAATGGCGGAAGGAGAGAACCAACTCCCACAGGATGTCCTCTGACCGCCACACATGTATTATGGCACATGCACATACATGAGTGTCTGCACACACAATAATGGTTAAAATGCAATAAAAATGTTTCAAAAGAAATCTTAGTAAGATACCACTTAACATTCACTAGGATGCCTAAAGTATAATTAACACAGGTGTTAGTAAGGATATGGAAAAAACAAAAGGCAAGAAATAGAAGTCATTTTACCAAAGTGGCTGGCCAGTATGGGTGATTGGGGGTACTCTGCAGCAGAAAATTGTGCTGTGGGTTAGATCACTGTGTCTCCAAATGTACTTGCTCAGATGCAAAGATTCTGATAAAGAAAACAGCCAAAATTTGAGCTATGACTAAGGCAAAAACAAAACAACAGTAACAAAAGGCTATCCAAACAACCAGCAAGCACAGAAAAGTTGTCTAAATGTCATTAGCATCATAGGAAAACAAATGAAAACCAGTGAGATATCTAGCACTCCACAGGCCACAAACACAAACACCATCAACAACTCTCTCCAATATTTGGTATTTGGGACGACTGAAACTCCCTGCCAGAGGAGTATAACATGACCTGACTTGTAAACAGCTCAAGTGCCTGGCAACAGTAGAATGAGTAAACTGAGGCATGAACAGAGAGTGGAGTCTGTTGCAGAAATGACAACCCTGCACTGCTGAGTGAATTTCTTTGACATAATGTGAGATAATGTTGAACAGGCATTTTATCTGGAGAGTACATTCAGTATTTAAGTATTTATATGAGATGTAAAAAGAAGACTTAAGTTCAAGTGATGGAAATCAGAATGGTTATGGATCTTTGAGGAGGTGCTAAAGACTTAGAAAAGGTATAATGGAGATTGGTATGCCAGTAGTTAATCGTTTTAAACATTGGTTATTTAACATTTCTATATTTTACTATATCTGATCCATACCTCAATAAAAAGCAAACAAACAGATTAGGGGCTGGAGCAATAAAAAGGATATCAGTTAAGCAGTTAAGAACACTTCCTGCTCTTGTAGAGGACCCAAGTTTGGTTCCCAGTATCCACATCAGGCAGCTCACAACTGATTCTAACTCCAATTCCAGGGGATCTGATGCTGTCTTCTAGCCTATACACATACCTGCATACATATGCACACACGTGTGCACACACATACACATAAAATAAATCTTAAAAAAAGAGCAGGAAGGGGTTTAACGTTTTCTTTAATTTTTCACTATTAGAAACTAGATAAAGCCGGGCATGGTGGTGCATGCCTGTAGTCCCAGCACTTGGGAGGCAGAGGCAGGAGGATCTCTGTGAGTTCAAGGCCAGCCTGGTCTACATAGTGAGTTCCAGGACAGCTGGGGCTACAGCTGTCACAAAAAGACCCCCCCCAAAAAAGAAGAGATAAAGATGATTAGCTTCTGATTGAAATAATATTTCATTGACTCTAAGTGTTGCCAAATATAAGATGCACTACTCTGTGTGTGTGTGTGTGTGTGTGTGTGTGTGTGTGTGAGTGAGTGTGAAAGAGAGAGAGAGAGAGAGAGAGAGAGAGAGAGGAGGAGGAGGAGGAGGAGGGAGAAGGGAGGAGAGAGACTAGAGATCAAACCAGGAGGCGAGTATTCTACTACTGAATTGTGCCCCCAGGTAGATGCACCACTTTTGATATACTACTAAAAAAATACAAGCTCAACTAACAGGAATTGAAAGATAACAGGTGATTTCAGAGATACTAAGGTAAAGGATACAGATAAAACTATGGTAGATAAAATAAGCAAAACATACTCTGAGGGACAGAAGCAGTGATGGTCCTAGGTAAGGAATGAGGATTTTGCTGTTGTTAAAACGTTTTGCAAGTCAGCATTTTAAAAGAGGACTTCGTATCTTGTACTGTTTCTGTGTATTTTGAACATTTTCACATTACATGTTTCCTATTTGATAAGCAGTAAAGTATGCAAAAGTTAATGTGTAACTTTTATCAGAGAAAGCCACACACTCATGCTATCTGCAGTTCTCCATCTTGCCAATATTGACTTTTCTTCTTTGCAGCCATTTCCAAAGCAGCCAGGGACATCAGGCGCTTATCCTCTCACTTCACCCCCTACGTCTTATCACAGCACAGTTAATCAGTCTCCCTCTATGATGCACACACAGTCTCCAGGTAAGATATGACTTATTCTCTTGTCCTATTCATCTTGCGAAAGAAAACACAAACCTGAGAAGAAGTGCTATGCAGGTGGCCTCAGGCTTCTGACAGAATTCCTTTTCTCGTCTCTGGCTAGATAGTTGCCCGAATTCATTGGAATAGTGCTGCAAAATCTGCATTTGTGGTCCAGGAGAACTTTACAAGACTTGAATTCAGCGGAGAGCTTGGCACCCAGAGCCAGACCCATGGCCCAACTCCCAGGGGTACTTACTAATGACATGGTTTATATCAAAGGTTGACAAACAGGCCTGGAGCCAAATCCTGCCCACCACTAGCTTTGTAAATAAGTGAAATTTTATTGGAACAAGAGCATACCAGCTTAGTCAGTATTTGTGGCTGCTTTCTTTCACACTCTCGTGTTTTGCTTTTTGCTTTTGGGGACAGGGTCTAATGTTGCCCAGGCTGGCCTCAAATTTGACAAGTAGCTGAGGATAGTGCTCAGCTCCTGATCCTTCTGTCTCCATTTCCCGAGTGCTGGGAGTACAGGGTTGTACCACCAAACCTGGCTCCTTTGTGATTGCTGTCCTTCTAGGCCAGCCCCTTTTGCCAAGCTTTGATAAATCTGACAGTGTTCAGCTCTGTAGCCCCTAGAGTCAGGCACTTCACCTCTTATTTATCCTGACAAAATGACTTTGTTGGCAGCCTATGAAGCGTACTGCAAAAAGTGAGTGATATACCAGATTTTTACTTTGGACTGAATGATTCAGTGGGATATTGAGATACTTGTTCTCTGCCAAATGCTGCTTGGTGCCTGAGGTTGAGCAGGGCGCCAGGTACCAGCCCCTTGCTCTAGTTTTGCCATCTAGCAAATAAGACAGGCATTGATTTTCTTAGGTTAAATGACCCCTTGCCTGCCAGCTCCCATGCTTAAATTGTTATACTGATGAAAATTTAAAAGAAAATCTTTGTAGCAGAAAAGATGTGTTACGTGCCAGGTGTGGTGGTGCATGCCTTTAATCCCAGCACAGAGGCAGAGGCAGGCCCATCTCTGTGAAATCGAGGCCAGCCTGGTCTACATAGCAAGTTCCAGGTCAGCTGAGGTTACAGGGAGACTCTGTCTCAAAAAAGACCAAAAAAGAGAAACAAGGTGTGTTATGTAATGTTGGGTGTATAATATAAGAAATTAAATAATTTCACAAGGTCTAGTGGTATAGGTCTATAATTCCAGCTACTCGGGAGGCTGAGGCAGGAGAATTAAAAGTTCAAGACCTGGGGCTGGAGAGATTGCTCAGCAGTTAAGAACACTAACTGCTCTTACAGAGGACCCAGGTTCGATTCCTAGCACACACATGGTGGCTAACAACTGTGTGTAACTCCAGTTCCAGGGGATCCAGTACTGTCTTCTGACCTCAGTGATCATTGCACAATATGGGTGCACTTACATGCATTCAGGCAGTACACTCATATACATTAAATAAAATCTAATAAAAATAAGAATTAAAAAAACTTTTGATATATCAGTCCTGTTAATTAAAAATGTTCTTATCATTTGAGGGTGTTCTAGTTTATTAGCTAGGTGTTTTTTTTTTTAAATTGGTACTGAAGAAGGATCACAAGGCCTCACACAGGCAAGTGCTCTGTCTATAAGCCATATCTCCAAACCCTAAGGTTTTAGTAATAAACCCAACAAACATATTTGCTTTTAAGTTTTCACATTGTAAAGCAGTATTGACGATATGTGCTTTTTTTCTTTCTAACATATCCTTCCATAGTCCTTAATATAGGTATGTATGTATAAATATGTATTCATAGAAGTTGTGTGTATGAACCAGCAGAACCTATCAATCTGAAGATGGGAGATTAAGTGATATCACTTGTTAACCTGCCAATTCTATTTGTAAATGGAAATAGCATAAAACAATTTGCTTAGAGATGTGAGAATTTACAGAAATAAATCACATCAAGTGTTTAGTGTGGGACCTGGCTTGTAATAAATACCTCTTTGATCAGCCCATTGTAATGTGCATTGGTCCCACATTGGGCTACTTGACATCTCATCTGGCACTACTTGGCTAGTTCCATC